AATGACCTTGAAATAAAAAACACAGAAAAAATGGCCTGACAAAAACAAGTTGTTTTTTAGACTTCATTGAAGATATTTAAATTGTGTCACGAATATTTTTCATATTATAAAAAATGAAGGAGATATATAATTGAATGTATAATTTGTATAATTAAAAATATAAAATCTCGGCAGAAAATTTTGTTACATATTAAATACGAGTATACGTTATTGAAAGCATTATAATTTGAATATTTTATATTTTTTTCATATTACATGCATTTTGTGCAATTTTCAATTTATTTATAAATAAGTAAAAATTTGTTTAACATTTTTTATAAATCCATATAAATCAGTCTAATTATAAATAAATTTAAGTGAAGAGGAAAAACTTTCTAGTTTTATTCGCAGGTTAGCTAGAAAAGCTATGATTAGATTTGAAGAATAAGAAGTAACTATGTATGCCAATGCCAAAGAATTAGAAATTATTCAAAGCTGTAAGTATAATTGTTTATGATAGTGATATAAATCATATATTGTAGGTCTACCTTCTAATTAATAAAAAGCAAAAAATTACCATAAAACTACAAATTAAATTAAAAACTTTCACTCAATACATGTGATTGAATACATAGATAAACTTTCATTAAAATATAGCATATCAACGATGTAATTAATAATGTAAAATAATAGTTTTTATGTGCATAATTTAATTTAAGAGCATAGTTACAATTTCACAATAAAATCGTACAATAATAAACGTCTTAAAATTTGATGTGCGATTTCTTTTCGTTATTTTATTGAACTTTGAATATTGGGCTTAAATGACGAAATTTCAAGAAATTGTAACATTTTCATTTTTGCTTGATTCAAAATTTAATAAATTGATGAAAAAAGAAATTATAAATTATTTTAAGGACTTATTGTAAAAGAGAGGCTTAAATCTTCAAATTCAGCCAGGAAAAAAACTATCTCAATGTGTTTACATTTTATTTAACATTTTCGAGAAGAAAAGTTCTCGGTTTTTCATTCGTTACATGATGCAAAAATGTCTCATGATACAAGAACAAAATGAATTCATTTTGAAATTTTAGAATTACTCAAATTTATTATTGTATGATTTTGTTTGTTTTAAGAAATTGTTATAGTTTAAATATTTATTGTCCGAATATTTAAGTGCCCGAATATTAATACGAACAACTATATATTATAAATTTTTACACTATGTATACTAATGGATAGAAAAAGAAAAATAAAAAAACGCAGTAATGTATAACAAAGATAATCTTTGGCAAATTTTTATTATTTTTTTTCACTTTTCTATGTAATGATAATATTCGAATGTTTGTAAATTTTGTTTGTAAATTTTCATTTGTAAAAAAATCAAACTAAGAAAATAATTTCTGAATTTTTACAGCTGCATTTTATTATTTAGATTGTTTATAATTTTTTTCATTTTGAATATGAAATATAAACAAGCATTTATGTCTAAATATTTTCAACATTTTTCAACATTTTTTAAAGTTTATTTATTCTTATCTACAAAAATGACAAAAGGAAAAGAAATCATAGTTAGATATAAATAAAATACATATACATATAAATATATAAAATATAAAACGATCTGATAACGTAAAAATTTATTTGG